TTATTGGTGCACTGCTTAGTAAATGTTTATAATGTGTTAAAAACATAACGTATTAAACATACTGGAGACATGCATCGATTTTTTAGTTTTGTCGACTGTATATTCAAGTTTCAGCAGTTCTCAGCTCAGCACACACAGGCCTATGCTACGGTTCTCAAGAACTGGTTGTTGCAGTTCTTGAATCACCAGTACAGAACCAAGAACTGTTTCTTTCGGACACGTTTGATACGGAGAACCGATGAGCTGAAGATACTGCGCATGCGTGATAGCACCGTCTCTAAACAGAACTTTCTTTCGGCCAACTGATGCTGTGCTGATACATGAGCACGCAGCACGGGGGAACTGAGGACTTAAATGATGGGCCGAATTCGGCGAAATGTAAGTTTATTTAATAACAAATAAAACGATGAAGACCATTTATGCACTTTATATCTTTAAGACATGTAAAACATCTGCGTTTGCACATCGCCTGTAGGCTACAGGGTTCGTTTGCAAAACGTAAATGTAAGAAACTTATCCAAGATGATTATGACGATGAGTACTATTATTTATACTATGAGTTATGATTACAAATGCCTTTAATTTAAAGTATTTTTAACCGCCGGGATGATAGAATTGACGTCATTACGTGATGACGTAAAAGAACTGGTGAACCGGTTTTTTGAACCGGTTCGCGGAAAAGAACCGGACTTCCCATCACTAGTGGACTCATAAACATTGAACAGTGTTTTTAAAAAAATAGCAAATACCTCAGTGAACCAAATTATTTCATGAAGATTATTAAACCATCAACAGGTAACCATTATAACCTGATCTCACTTCGCTTTAGCTTTATTTGCTGCTGCAAATGTGTTTTACTAAACACACTGTCACAACAGTCAAAAAAAGACAAAGATATATTAAGAGTTAAGAGCCCAACTAATGGGAACACTAATCACTGTTATGGTGACTTCAAATGAAAGAGTTAAACTTCTGTTAATTCTCAATAAAAACTTCTGTAGAAGTCTGACAGAAATAAAGTCAGTCTGGTTAGTAATAAGTTAAGCTGGTAATGCTGTTTGTGGAGTTGTTTAATCCTCCTCTGCTGAGATCTTCAGAGATTTAATGTCTTCAGTTGATTTCATCTAAGACTCTGGCTGAAGTCAGTTGTAGTTGGGTTTCTCTTTTCTTTAGTCATTCTGCTTGCTAACAGCAGGTTTTCATCATTAATGCTCAATCATCCCTTAATTAATCAGTTAATTATCTCATTAACTTTACCACTTTTAACACTCTTTAGATTGGGACAATATGTACTCTGAGCAGTGTTGATTTAACACTGGGGATTTTGCTGTGTTCCTGTTAGGTGAAGTAATCATGAAGAGATTGATTAGCTTGGTCAGGTGAGTTTGATTAGGGTTGTAGGTAAACTCTGCAGGAAAGTGGATCTCGCGGGCCAGAGTTGAGGACCCCTGTTCTATAGGGCTGTTTTACAGCCCTATCTCAGGTGCATGTTACCCTTTTATTAACCTGTATCTGTCTCTAATATTTTATCAAGATTAATATAATATTGGCTGTGTTTTACGTATGTTTATTACATGGCTTGGTTGAATTCCAATGTAGAATGTGGTCTATTATTTCTTGATAACAGACCGCTGCTAAGTATAACACACCGTTGCCATAAAAAACAGAGCGTTGCCATAGACACAGTTTTGTTCACATCAAGGAACCGGCTTTACTGACGAGATGCGCATAACAATGTCATGCGATATATATTTTGTTATGGGCATTTTGTTATGCATATTTTGTTATGCGCTTCTCGTGGCATATGCCCTACTAGGGCTGTGCGATACATATATTGTTATGCGCATCTCGTCAGTAAAGCCGGTTCCTTGATTAGTAGTAAATCACCTTTACCTGCTTTCAGATGGAGCGGCATTTAGGGCTGGGCGATATATCGCACGATATTGTTATGCGCGTCTCTTCAGTAAAGCCGGTTCTTTGATTAGTAGTAAATCGCCTTCACCTGCTTTCAGATGGAAGATATGATGCAGATATGAGTGTTAAAGTTAATGAGATAATTAAGTGATTAATTTAGTGATCATTGAGCATTATTGAAGACACCTGATGTTAACAAGCAGAATCACTGAAGGAGAAAATCTAAAATTGTAAGCCACCGTTATGGAGATCAGTGTTTGCTTTAGTTGGGCTCTTGATCCTTATACTTTGAGTTTAAATTTAGTTTGTTTGCTGTAATTGATTTATAACAGTCAAATGAACAAAAACAAGTGTGATCTGATAGTGTTGGTTATGTTTTGACATAATCATGCTGTGATCTGAAAAATGAAACTCATTCATCTTGTTTAATTTGATAGCAACAGTTCAGTGGTCCTACAGCATATGATAATTGTATGTTTCTTAAAATCCAAACCATTTAATAAAAATTGTTCTGATCAAATCACTTTCAACTGCATTTATTTAGAAACGCAGACATCAATAATCAGCCTGTCAATCTCAACCGTGGTGACAATAATAATCCTTGTTGCCACCAATCACAACTCATTAATGGCTCCCATCATGCATTGCGGTATGAATAAATTTTGATCTGAATTGTCTCTGTAATTTACTTTTCCTAATTGAATATTCTGTTCATCACCATTGTTGAGATGCATTGACTGAATCTTGATATCTGTGTCTGCCTAAAACAAAGATTTTTTTTTTTTAAGAAATCTTTTATATTATATCACAAATTCTGGACATTTATGCAGAATCTCAGTTATGCTGTAACCAACAGCATTAATCACAAACAATTAGCTCAAATGATGAATGTCATAATATAATCAATACCATTAGATCATTGTTTCTCTTTGTTCATCTGGCAGGTATAACTTGGATACAACAGCTGAACAAAAACTAAAGTTAATAATATAAGGGTCAAGAGCCCAACTAAAGCAAACACTCATCTCCATGATGGTGTCCGGAAATTCCGGTTTTCTTCTTCAGTGATTCTGCTTTAGGTGTCTTCAATAATGCTCAATCATCACTCAATTAATCACTTAAATATCTCATTAACTTTAACACTCTTGAGTGTGGACTCATATACGCTCCCAGGTGTGTTCATTTAACACTGAGTTTTTTGCTGTGTAAAGAGCCGTAGTTAACTGACAAGCTGAGCCATATCGCATTAAATATCGCTGGCGATACGTCCGCGATATTAGTGCGATTTGGCTCAGCTTGTCAGTTAACTACGGCTCTTTGTAGTAAATGCCGCTCCATCTGAAAGCAGGTGAAGGTGATTTACTATTAATCAAGAAACCGGCTTTACTGATTAGATCCGCATAACAATATCGTGCGATTAATCGTGCAGCCCTAGAAGATATGATGCAGATATGAGTGTTAAATTAACACTCAAGAGTGTTAAAGTTAATGAGATAATTAAGTGATTAATTTAGTGATCATTGAGCATTATTGAAGACACCTGATGTTAACAAGCAGAATCACTGAAGGAGAAAATCTAAAATTGTAAGCCACCGTTATGGCGATCAGTGTTTGCTTTAGTTGGACTCTTGACCCTTATGCATTAAGTTTAAATTTTGTTTGTCTGCTGTTATTGATTTATAACAGTCAAATGAAGAAAAACAAGTGTGATCTGATAATGGTGGTTATGTTTTGACATAATCATGCTGTGATCTGAAAAATTAAACTCATTCAGATGATCTTGTTTAATTTGATAGCAACATTTTTGTGGTTCTACAGTATGTGAAAATTGTATTTTTCTTATAATCCAAAACATTTAATAATAATTGTTCTGATCAAATCACTTTCAAATGCATTTATTTAGAAACACAGACATCAATAGTCAGCCTGTGAATCTAAACTGTGGTGACAACAATAATAATTGTTGCCACCAATCACAACTCATTAATGGCTCCCATCATGCATTGCGGTATGAATAAATTATGATCTGAATTGTCTATGTAATTTACTTTTCCTAATTGAATATTCTGCTCGTCACCATTGTTGAGATGCATTGACTGAATCTTGATACCTGTGTGTGACTAAAAGATTTTCTTTTTTTTTTTACAACTTTTAAGAAATTCTTTATATTATATTTCAAATTCTAGATATTTGTGCAGAATCTCAGTTATGCTGTAACCAACAGCATAAATCACAAAACAATTAGTTCAAATGATGAATGTCATAATATAACCAATACCATTAGATCATTGTTTTTTCTTTGTTCATCTGGCAGGTATAACTCGGATTACAACAGCTGAATAAAATCTAAAGTTAATAATATTAGGGTCAAGAGCCCAACTAAAGCAAACACTCATCTCCATAATGGTGACCTGAAATTCCGGTTTTCTCCTTCAGGGATTCTGCTTTAGGTGTCTTCAATAATGCTCAATCATCACTCAATTAATCACTTAAATATCTCATTAACTTTAACACTCTTGAGTGTGGACTCATATACACTCCCAGGTGTGTTCATTTAACACTGAGTTTTTGCTGTGTACAAAGAGCCGTAGTTAACTGACAAGCTGAGCCATATCGCATTAAATATCGCTGGCGATATGTCCTCGATTTTAACGCAATTTGGCTCAGCTTGTCAGTTAACTACGGCTCTTTGTAGTAAATGCCGCTCCATCTGAAAGCAGGTGAAGGCGATTTACTACTAATCAAGGAACAGGCTTTACTGACGAGATGCGCATAACAATATCATTAACAATATCATTAATCGTGCAGCCCTAATTCAACTCATTAGCTCATTAACCCATGTGATAATGAGCTGATGAGTTGAATTAGGTGTGTTTGATTAGGGAGACAAAGAAAACGTGCAGTGTTGGGGTGCCACTGCCCTATAGTATACGTTTGTCTTTTGTTTGTGTTTGTTTGTATTTTTGTATCTCTGTGTATGTCTGGCAAGAGTATGATATGTAGAAGAACATGAAATTCTATTTTACTGTGTGCTTGAAAAATATATTGTGCTGTGTTACCGAATGTCTCATATGCACAGGGTGGATGTCTGATGATCATGACTGCAGTCCTTCAAAACAATATACAGCTAAAAGTGATCTTTTTAAATATCTCGGCTTGGACAAGAATGACTCTGAGAATACCAGAATGTGGCCCATGATATTCACTTACTTCCACCCTGTCAATATTTTTGTGGACCTGTATGTGACCTCCATCATTAATGTGGTATGTGTCCAGTATGATTTATCTATCATTCAAGTCATTATGGGATGTAAAGCAGTTGTAATATCATCTTTCAACATATCTTATATCTACAGGATGAAAAAGCCCAGAGTCTCACGACACAGATCAAAATACTAACAGTAAGCGTTTTAAAAAAAAACGATTTCATTCTTATTTCACAAAGTGTTACTCAATTTACAGAACTTTGTCACATGATCAGAGGTTTTATTTGATTTTCAAGCATACAGTATCTGTCTTATAATCACTCTAAACTTCATATAACTTTCCAGCACTGGCCAAATTGGAATATGCAGTGGAATAAAAGGACATTTTGTGGAATTGAAACATTTGTTGCCCCCAAAAATATGTTTTGGACTCCAGACATTTCTATAATGGAAAGGTATATAAAATTACATCTGCCAGAAACTTTTATTTATATTGTAAAATGATGGATAGAATAAGGGTGATGGTATGACAAAACGGAAATGACAAAACAGATTCAAAGGCATTGTTCATTCTACACATAAAACATCCAGTCAACACGTTGATCTCACAGTGATGTCAGGTCCGTGTACGTTTTGATAGTTTGTTCCAAGTACTCCTCGCTGCAGACTGTAGCGCGGTGACGTCACGTACGTACGTCACGTATGTGTTACCACGCATGCGCCATATCGCGGCGACAGCGCATGCGCGTTACGCGGTTACGTCACGTGTTTTGACGTCCCGCGTCAATTTGACATAATATTTAACAAAAATGTTAATGTATTAAAAAACTCTAAAGTAATAATGAAAGCAGCAAAAAGAAGTAAAACACACATCCATAGTTTTAACTATGCCTGATTTAAGGTAAACTTATAAGAAATTTTAGAATGTATTATTGTGTAATATCTGTGTAGTATTTTATTTAAAGTTTATTTTTACATTCTATTGAATTGAATGCCTTTATTGTCATTGTACTTTACAATACAACGAAATTGGGATCACTCTCCACTGGTGTATACAATAAATACATTTAAATAATCCTTACAGTACATAAAATAATATATATAAATAAAACAAAAATAAAAACAGTATAAAATCAGTATAAAGTTGAATTAAAACAGTGCATTTGGAAAGAAGCTATTTTTGAATCTGGTGGTGCTGGATTGTATAGACCTATAACGCCTACCAGAAGGCAACAGTTGAAACAAAAGGTGACCTGGATGAGTATTGTCCTTGATGATGTTTTTGGCTCTTGAGAGACCCTAACCCTAACCCTAACCCTAACCCTAACCCTAACCTAACCCTAACCCTAACCCTAACCCTAACCTAACCCTAACCCTAACCCTAACCCCGAACCGATCTAAGTGCAATGTCTGACAAAGATGGTAAAGGGCATCCTATAATGTTTTCTGCAGTCTTGATGATTCTCTGCAGAGCCTTTTTGTCGGCAGCAGAACACCCAGCAAACCACAGAGAGATGCAATATGAAAGAATGCTCTCAATGGTGGATTTATAAAAGGACACCAGCAGCCTTAGATTCATTCTGTCTTTTATTGCACTTCACTTTGTAAATTACAAAATTACTGTAAACACTGATGGCACCTTATATATTTCTTATTTTAATCATTCCCCTTTAATAGTTAATAATTGTTTATTTTTGTGCATTATATAGGCTATCATAAAACATTTATTCCTATAAAGTAGTTTGAAGTTAAACAGCACATTGTCAATCTCTGTATCCGATATTATGCATGCCAACTCAAAAAAAAAAACTCATAACAGTCATAACTTTTATTTCAAAACAAAGATAATTGTGTAAAAGAAATATGTACAAATACAGATAATCACATACATCTGTACACACACAGACAGACAGACACACACAAGCACAGAGACAGACACGCACACAGAGACAGAGACAGAGACAGAGACAGAGACACACACACACACACACAGACAGACAGAGACACAGACAGAGACACACAGAGACACACAGAGACAGACACACACACACACACACACAGAGAGAGAGAAAGAGACAGACAGACAGACACACACACACACACACACACCTACTCAGCTTGAAATTCCCCTCCATCATTGAAAAAACAATCAACTGAGCATAGCCCTCAACCTCCTTATCAGAATAAAATCAACGCAGCAGGACTCCCCTTCTGCCATCACCCACACACCCAGCCCCAGGTGGGCAGTCCTTGTATATTGCAGAGCAAGCACAGAGTTAATGAGTAGGGCACCCGGAACTCTTGCTTGTATTGCTGGAAAATACACTCCAGTTCACAACACCTAATTTAGATAAAATACAGAACAAACAATATGAATCATTTTGAAGAAAGGCATTAATATAGTACAGAGTCATACAAGGAATTATATATATATATATATATATATATATATATATATTTTTTTTTTTTTTTAACAAAGTTATTGGCTTTGTCTGTAAAGTACCTAAGAGACTTTTCTTTATTTATGAACAACATAAACTAGTTAAAAAAAAAAGTTATGCTGTCTAAATGATAAAAACAACTAAGGAGAATCACAATGAATCTTATTTGAGCAAAATACAATGTTCAACTCCATTACTTTAATTAATTTCACCACAAATGTATTTAACATAACTTACGTACTGTAAGTGTACTACTCACTACATTCACGTATGTAACTTTTACTGTACGATCTGATACTGAGGAACAACATTTCTTTTGCAATGGATGGAACAATCAACTACATTACTTACATAAGTCTTTCTGCTCTATTTGAAGACATCTTTCAAACCTTAATTTGTTTAAAGGCGAATTAAGACTTATACATATCATTTTAAGACTCGCTGAAGTCATTTTGATAATATGAGATCATAAAACATAACATTTTTTGTAAAATCTAAAACATTTATGCGCTCTATGGAATCTTTTACAATTAAAAGCCGTTAACACAAAAGAACAATTGTTAAAACAGCATAAATAATCCTTATTGACTTACTGCCATCGAATCCATCGCCGGAAGTGATTGTAATGAACTGCGCATGCGCAAATGTGTATAATTTGCGCAAATGCGTATAATTTGCGCGTGCACACATCGGTCTACTTTGCGCATGCGTGGTAACACATACGTGACGTACATACGTGACATGTATACGTGATGTCACCGCGCTACAGTCTGCAGCGAGGGGTATCTCTTTTGTTCTCCAATTTGAAACGAAATAAGCAGAAACGAGAAAACGGCGCCTTATTCGTTTTTTCAAAAAAAACGAAAAAAAAAACAGATTTCGGCTTGATTTTTCGTTTTTTTAGTTCACAGGCAAAAACGAATAAATTACTTCAAAATTCGTTTTCCACATGTGGGCGGTCCTGAGACGCCCCCTTCCGCCGATTGGTCAAGCAAATCTGAGCATGTGACGTCATCAGTCGTCGCTCAGGTCTGTTCAACAAAATAATAGTCCTAAAAACAAAACAAAATAATAGTCCTCTACTATGGCTACCAATTCTTAAACTGTACAGGGCAGGTCCTATTGGGCTTATTTCTTCTGTGCAACTTTACGCGTTTCACAGAAATCTTTACATCAGAAATATTAAATATTAGTCTGCCACCGGCCCATTTTATTTAGCTGTGCGGAGTTAAATCTGTTTGGTGAAGCTGCGCTTGACAGCGGCGAGCGGGAGAGGCTCTGACCAATGTTCAGTCAGCAGTCACAACTTTTCTTTTAGACAGTATACGCTCCGTTTTGACACGGGATTGTGATTGCAAATACTGTAATGCCAATCGGCTGAGGGTGAGTACCGATGATGGTGAAATACATTTTTACTGAAACTGTTCTCATAGCCGTGACCCGCGAGAATGATTGACAGGACGATAGCGGAAGCAATTAAAAGCACAATATAACTTCAGTTAACAAAAACACAATTAAAAAAGTGTTTAATATAAGTGACTTTGTCTTTGTTTTATTGTTTTTGTTGTTTTTAATCAAATAATTGTGAACCACAAACCGATCGAGCCTTCGTTTTAAATTTATTTGTCATAATATGGGTATTTTATGTCACCTTATTAGTTTGATTATAGTATAGGCCCTACGCGAGTTTTTTTTTTATTGTACAATTTTAGTGTTGTTTTTTAATTAACAATATATCATAACAACTTATAAAGATCTAAATCTACAGAAGAGATTAACAAATAACTGGTGTTGTCATAAGTTAACTAATCAATGGGAAAATTTCCTCACCGGCACATCCCTATTCTTCATGTTGGCTACATGTTACAGATTAATTGTTGAACACATAATGTTAAAGGCTTCTTAAATACCATTACACTCGGTTGAAGAGTCAAGAAGGATGTGTTCATTTACAGTGATTTCAGTCTGTCCTTAGTTGGTGACCCAGTGTAATTATAATACAGCATAGGCCTAAATAAAAACAAACACGCATGTATGCGGCAAAACACATTTGCGTATTACGGAGCCCGGGAATTCACCTGTGGGGGAAACAATCCGTGGCGACGGTTTTGCAATCCGTCCCCTCAGTTTATAAACTGTACTCACAAATTCTTAAACTGTTCCTACGGTTTAACAATTTGTTCCCACGGATTAATAAACCGTACCCACGAGTTCCTATCCGTGCTCTCAGATTTGTAAACCGTGCCTTCAGTTTTTGCAATCTGTACCCACAAATTCATAAACCGTGCCCACGCTTTCGCAATCCGTACTCACGGGTTTGTAATCCGTACTCATCGGTTTGTGGCCCCTCCCCCAGTCTGTGCCGCATAATTCAACCAGGCCTCCTGTTTAGGTGCGGGATGCATTGCATTGTGTGTAGCCTCCTCAGAACCTGATTTTACTTTCTAAAATCAAATTAGAACCTGGAAATTATATTTTTTCCCGCAGAGAAGAGCCATGTCGCTGGAACCATACAGAGATTATTTATAGGTGATTTATAGGCTAATCATAATAAATGTGTCTGAAAAATAACGAGGGATTTTTATTGTTTATTAATAAACTGTTTAAATTAGTGTCGGCTAAACATATCTCCATCTCCGCTGTAAAGCAGATTCACCTTTAGAGAGAAATGCACCTTTCGGATTATATAATCAGACGGTATTTGCTTTCGATTCGAATTTGTTTGTTTAAAAGTGGACATTTCAAGCTTTAGATAGGCTTTTGTTTCAGTTCATTTATAAGACGCGCTCCGGAGACCATGAAAGCGCGCCTGATTGTTTTATTTTATTTTACAAAAGCACAACGTTTTCTTTTTATTGTGAGAATTATGTATTATTTTTTTCTGTATGACCAGAAATGATAGATTATTTTAAGTTGTTTCCAGTGTTGATAGGAAAATACAAGTGTTTGCGCGGGCGCCTCCGTGCAGTGCGCACTTGGATATGCGTCACAAACTTGTGTTTATTTGTGATAAT